ACACACATGCATGTATATATTTAAGAAAAATATGTTATGTTTAAATATATTTAAATATAATATAAATTATATGAATATAAATATATACATGTAAATACATGTACATATTTTAAAATATATACTGTATGTGTGTCTCTTTATATATACATAATAAATATACAGTACACACATATATTATATAAACAAAAACTTTTCTTTTGGATGTGATTAATCGCGATTAATCATTGTCCAGCACTAATACATATGAACTTTTATACTTTCTTCCAAAAGTTTTGTTGCTGCATTCTCTATTCCCATGGCTGTACACAATTATTGACATTTCATTTATAGTTTTCAGTTTGCTGTGTTGTTAAAACTATGTAAAACTTGGGAAAACCTTTCACTGACTGAAATTCAGACCTCTTTAAGTGCAAACTGCCCTATTTTAAAATGAATATTTGTATCAGTAGACAACCTTGGAATGGACCAGACTGAAACTTGAGAGCGAACCTAAGCAGAATATCATGAGAATAATTGAATGATTGTATACTTGTCTTTTAAACTGAGTCAGTGGAATTATGAGAAATCCAAATATTATTATAAAATCAGCTTATACAGTATGCAATGTCTTCTTCTTCACAAAACAAGGTGCCAAGTGCATATACCACAGCTAGATCTACAGCTAAAAGAATGAAGTTTCAGCTGAAGGAGCTTTTACAGGCGCCTGGCAAAGTATCAGACCTTTTGAACTTGCTGTGTTTGCTGCTGGTGATGGGCGGTTGCCAGAGACACATATCAGCATGTGGATCAGGAAAAGAAAGATGTTCTCATGTTGAAATTAGGACTGGGCGATATTGCTAAAAAATGTATCAACAATATAATTGTTCATATTGTTCGGTATCGATAATTATTGACATTTTTTATAACCTTATTTAAAAAAAAGAGCAATAGAAATTTTTACATTTAACCACTGTATTTTTAAATTAACCCAATTTATTGAGACAAACAACAAATATTTTGTTTGTTTGTTTTAACAGTCAAACACAAAATAAAAATTAGACACATATCTCATTTCTAATGTTTTATATGCAGATTAAATAGGTCTTAAGGAAACTTTTGGCTTGTTTCCCGAGGCCACAGGAGGGCGCAATGAGCAAAATAATGCTGCGCATTAAATTGTCAACGCAAGGAAATAACTATCTATAAAAAAACATGCATTTCGTCGAAATTAACTCATATAAATCAAACATAATTTCGTAAATTGCATAAACAATTATGAACAAAACAGCATCATGTATTTATGCATTGCTTAATACAAAGAGCCGAATCGCCGATCACACAGATTGCCTTTAAAAACATATGAGACGCAGTGAAAAGGAATAAACCTCCACAAATTTGTGACGTGTTTTCTAACAGTTTAAACTGTTTTAACTTTGCATGGCTTTATATACATCTCGTGTGGGACGCGCGAGTGCAGCAGTCGTATTTATCAGTCTAAAAAATGCGCTGAATATGCGTTCTGTGTGAATGGCTTGGTTTCGATTTTAACCTAATCAAGATCTTCTCCGCATTGAGCTACTATATTTCTCTAATATTTTGAATGAATAACGCAGCAACTGCAGCGTCTCGTGGGCTAGACTAATAAAACATTAAAATGCAACAAAGTCACTTACATCAACATCACCACATCTCGTGCTCCACTGATGACGCTCCCTGACGCACACCTAACATTTGATTGTACTATTTTTGCATTCAAATGCAAATGTTTATTTTAAATTAGACTAATATTCATATTTTTATTCACAATCTCCTCATCACAGGCAGGCACAGCACTCAATTCAGCATGTGCTCGTGTTTGTGTGTGCTGTCTGCGTCACTCATAACATGTGCCTATATCGTGCACTATATCGAAAATTTTTTCTATCGTTATCGAAGAAGGTGTACCGTCGATAAATATCGATACCATTTTATCGCCCAGGCCTAGTTGAAATCATCCTCAGACTGTAAGAGGTGTTCACACAAGCATCATAACACATAGAGACTGCTGTCCAATGGTAAAGCTACTACTGTTCTGTCTAGTGGCAGCCATTAATATGAACAAAACATAATAACAGTGTTTATGATAACCTATTGAATAACCTAAAATCTATTCCATCCAAACTGCTGATAAAACCATCACAATAATCCACAAGTAATCCACACGACTCAAGTCCATCAATTAACATTTTATGAAGTGAAGAGCTGCGTGCTTGTAAGGTACAAAGGCATTTTATTGAGGTATTTTAACTTTTAAACTGTACATAATCCATAATGTTTCCTCAAATGAAATGTCCATTACCTGTTATCCTCTCATCAAAATCCATCAACATATTTGTTTAAAACTGTTTTTGCTTGTAAACAGTGCTTGAGCTGTGCATATTTCTCTCCCGATTCAGACATGATTTTTTTTCACTGAAAAAGCAATATCATGTATAGATGACTCAGATTTTAGAAAGAAGCAACAGTTTGAAGTAAAAAAAAGTCTTAATAATGGATTTATTTATTACAAACACACAGCTTTAATCTTCACACAACATTAATTGATGGATTGGAGTCGTGTGGATCACTTTTGGATTTGTGATGTTTTTATCAGCTTTTTGGACTCTCATTCTGACGGCACCCATTCACTGCAGAGGATCCATTGATGAGCAAGTGATGTAATGCTATATTCTTCCAAATCTTTTCTGATGAAGAAAAAAAAACTCTTCTACATCTTGGATGGCCTGAGGGTGAGTACATTTTCACAAATGTTCATTTTTGGGTGAACTATTCCTTTAAACCCTGCAAGCTAGCATTCATCTGCCTCCATTTTTGAGTGCAATGGCCATATCTCAACATTCAATCAATAATCGATTAATAAAACCAAGTTCCATCCTACAAGTTTTCTTTTTCACTAATCCATTATACTCGGATATACATCACTATTTGGAAATAAATATCTGTTGCTATATTTCTGTTTCATCATGACTTTTAACAACCCTGTCTTGGAAAGTTGCTTTTTAACATTAGATTTATAGAGTTTCCAAAAACTTCAATCTAGTTAATGAAATGTTCACCCCAAGGCAGCATTATTCATCTTAAACTAATAGCCTAGTTTTCCAAATTAACACCACCATTAGGAGAAATCATTGGCAAAAAATAAATAAATGAATTTAAAAAAATACATTAAAATAAAAAAAATAGTAATAAGCAGATGTGTATACACACATACTCTCAAAACCACTCACAGACTCTGAACACATTTTCTTCATTAACTTCAGCCAGTGTTTAATCTCTCACTGTGGGATGCCAGTTGGTTATATTACCACTAACAACCATACCTAATTGATGTGGGACTTTACCACTGTGAAACGGTTACATGTCAGCCTTATAACAATGGAATGAAAATAAAACATGCTTTTAATGAAAGGAACATGCACACTGCAAAAATCTGTAAATGGCAAAACATTTGCGAATTGCACATGAGAAACTTGTAATACAAACAAGGACACTCCCACTCATCGGAGGGGCTCGTTCAGTGTGCTGCACCATAAATGAGGCTCAAATACGACACTACAATCTGCACTTAATCTTGAACACTTAATATAGTGAAATTAAAAACACACTTACTGCGTTGACCTCTGTCGTAAGGATAAGGACAACAAGGCACAACAGAAAACACCTGCAATATGAAAAAGAGTGAATTAATGTGTGCAAAGGGAAAACACATACTTCTACAACACAAAGGAACAACAGATTTTACCTTAATGTGTTCCAGTGCTGTAGATGGTTCTCACCCTCCATGCGAGCCAGAAAACAGATTAATTCTCTCCTTCTGTCTAATTCCAGTATCCTGTTACTGCATACTCAATGATCTGAAAGTTACAAGTTAATTCTCAATGTTCTAATCCTGTTTGAACAGCAGTGGATCCTTCGTTCATATTTAGAGCATACTATAAGTACTGGTATCTTTGTAGATCTCATGTTCCTTGCTAATAGACCCATCAGTTGTGTTTTGGAACATGCTAGCTGGTTTCCATCTGGTCCAACCTGTCTAGCATAAAGACCATCATGGACCAGTAGCAAATCAAACTAATAGTAGCTATTCGTATTTTAGAAAAGCTCCTTAGACTTGCTAAAAAACTAGCTAACATGTTCCAAAAACACAGCTACCCTTTGGTACGACTTGTTAATGTGTCAAATAACTTAAAATAATCTATTTTCTTATTATGTAAACGCTTTTAGTTACAATACCATACATGTTAGTGAAGTGACGGCAGAAGTTTACCTCAGATCTCGCTCGCTTCAGTCACACAAGCTCAATCCCGATGCGTTCGCGCTTTGGGAAAGTTGGCTGTCTCGCCTAAAATCCACCTTGCCAAAGCTGTTTTAAGGGAATTACTGGTCTCCAAGACTTAAACTTCCCCTAACAATGCTGAAATGCGAGTGTTAGTTGTTCTAAACAGGGTTGTGTTGGTGCGTATTGATGGGTGGTCGTGGTCGTGACAGGGGGTGTGGTGGGCTCTTCTACAAGACATTACTTTCAACAACAGCCACATAACATTTAGAGCAAAGATGCAGACAAACGTATAGTTCAAGCTCGGGAAGAAGAGAGGCAAAAATTGCTTGAAACGGAGAAGAGTCCGTCATCAGCGTGTCCTTTTGGACATTATTCATAGGTGTAAATATGCGGCTTGCATGTGTAACCGTTTTTCTTCTCACAGTCTCTTTGAGCAACAATGCTGAAATGCGAGTGATAGTTGTTCTAAACAGGGTTGTGTTGGTGCGTATTGATGGGTGGTCGTGACAGGGGGTGTGGTGGGCTCTTCTACAAGACATTACTTTCAACAACAGCCACATAACATTTAGAGCAAAGATGCAGACAAACGTATAGTTCAAGCTCGGGAAGAAGAGAGGCAAAAATTGCTTGAAACGGAGAAGAGTCCGTCATCAGCGTGTCCTTTTGGACATTATTCATAGGTGTAAATATGCGGCTTGCATGTGTAACCGTTTTTCTTCTCACAGTCTCTTTGAGCATAGACGAGAGTACAGCTAAGGTAAGTCCAACGAAAAACCAAGTTATGTGTGTTTTATTAGTAATGTCGTCGGTTTGGACCTATAAGGAGTTCCGTTATGTCTTAAGTCACGCGCACAGAGAAGTGCGTAATAACTTGCGCGCGACTTGCTTGCGCTCAAGTTCCACTTTAGATTTCACGTGAGAATATTTCCACTTGACGAAGTTAAAGGCTGGGATATAACTTAAGTGTATAACGTCAAATCTGTCGTTAGATTTGAAATAGCAAACAGCAAACCAAAATGCAAATTAAGCAAACAGAAAGATATGAATAGCCAACCTACGACTTATGCTGTAACTAAAATAATGAATACGGGTCTCTAGTACATAATTGTCAAAGGCATTATGTATATTCACACAATTTATAGCACGACAATTGTTTTGGCAGTTTGGTAGATTCATGCGCTTTTGCTATTTTGGTTGTTTTATTAGTTCAGCTGTTTGATACAGATTGTTTCGAATTTGACGAGATTGTTTCCGTAGATCTTACTTATGGCTCCTTAGTATCTTGATGTATTGTCATGAAGTGAATTTGTACTGTGGATTTTCTATACAGTTTATATTTGCCACTCCTCTTGGTGTCGTCTGAGGGTTGTATTACTCCTTCACCCCTACTCCACCCCACCCCACCCTCTCAGTTCAATTTCAAAGTATTGGCATGATTGTTTTAGATAAAATAATGACAAAACAAATAAAACCAGTGACTTGGAAAAAATAAATAAAAAATTTAATAAAATTTAATTAAATAGGTTTCCAATAATGCTATTAAAAAAGAAAAAAAAACAGCAATATGTATTGCATTGCAAAATACATTTACATTTAGTCATTTAGCAGAAGCTTTTATCCAAAGTGACTTACAAAGTAGAATCAATCAGACCAATGAGAGAGCAACAATATACAAGTGCTGTGACAAAGCAGACAAACCTGGCTTCTGTGTGTTGCACGCTTGTGTGCACACTGCTACGGTTAACACAAACTTTTGTAAACTTACTCTTAACCATCTGGACTTTGTTTTCTATTTGTTAAAGGCATTTTACTGCTCATCTAAGAAATCAGTATAACTTATGAATGAGTTCCACTGCATTATTTACCCAAGCCAAAGTTTTCCCCAGCACGTAGCTGCATTAGGATAAAGATACATTAATCTGAGAGCGCTATACTGGACGTGTGTTTTTATTGGGGGAGTGGCTGTGGACGGGTCTCAAGAGTGAAGCACATGCAGAGCGAGGGTTTGGGAAGTGACAGGTGTCTAGGTGATAAGACCTAGCAGGATAATTTATTGTGACAATTATGAATTCACAAAGCTGTTACATCTGGTGATTTTGTAGAATTTCTGAATGCATACAGGCACATCTGTTGGATGAATAAACTATCATCGATACTGCAGATATTTGCAGGAGTATATCTGTATGAAGAATAACCGTTTCCTCATTGCAAAGTACAGGCAAAAATGCCCCAAAATACCAGAACATGCCTTCCAACTGTATTCCAGTGGAATTTGTTGATGGATTATCACATTACATACTAGTTTGATTTAAACTGCTATGTCACATAGCTATACTGAATAGGCTGTATACTCCAGATATTGACACTGGATCTGTAATCTCTCAGCACTTTTTAGTGCAACACCAATCATATGCCTCCCACAGCTGCCTTTCTCTGTCACCTCAGCCTTAGATTGTAATTGATGCCATTTGTGAGTGGTGTAAAATTCAGGCTTGTGAACACTGTTTAAACAACTACAACAACAATAACCCTGAGAACAATAATGTCTTTGCTCTGTATTGTGTGAGACAAACACCAAAAGGTGTAACCATTTGTTGTTGTTGGCTTGTTTTGGAGACGGGGTTTCCATGCTCATTGGAAACATCTGGAAGTAAATAAAACTTTGTATTTTTTCTTAAACTATGTTTAATTAGTGAGTGCAATCTCTAAAAAAATATAATAAAATCCAGTAATTACAAACAACTGGAAAAGTCGTGGGAATCCTGTAAAGGCAAAACATCTCAAACTCAAAATCAATTTACATAGACTATTAGGACAAATGGATAGAAAGGACATTTTGACTATTGCAAAATCCACTCTAAATCTTTGTAGCATTAGTTGGACCATATGTGTGGTTCAGCATAAATTAAGTGTTGTTTTCTCTCTTGAGAGATCTCTAAATATTTGTTAAAAAGAAGTTTATGACAACTAAAGATCGGAACGTCGCTCTTTCAGCAGTTTCTTGCAAATAGAAGGGGTGAAGAATATTCCTAACAAACAAATGTTTCTTTATATTTTCTTTGCTTGTCTGTCTATTTCAGTGGCACAGAAAACCCTCTTCCTCATCAATATATGAACATTAATGGAAGGCCGGTGATATGGATGAATTTCAGTTGAACACTAAGTTTTTCCAAGCAGGTGATGGCGAAAAAGATGTGTCTTTAGATGTTTTTTGAAAATGGCTAAAGACTCAGCTGCTCGGATTGAGATAGGCAGGTCGTTCCACTAGCTGGGGACAGTCCTAATATTCAATAAGACATTCATGTTACACCAGTAACACCTACATTTGATCCGTTTGTGACACTTATGGAAAACCTGTCCTGAAATGAGCCATTTTTAAAGTATTTCACTGTTGTACTATGAAATACAAGCAGAATGTGTCACTCCGTCTTGCCTCAGGAAGCCATGTTTGTCTGAATCTAACTTTTTCTTTGGCTAGACTGTGGGAAACAGCAGACAAACCTGGCTTCTGTGTGTTGCACGCTTGTGTGCACACTGCTACGGTTAACACAAACTTTTGTAAACTTACTCTTAACCATCTGGACTTTGTTTTCTATTTGTTAAAGGCATTTTACTGCTCATCTAAGAAATCAGTATAACTTATGAATGAGTTCCACTGCATTATTTACCCAAGCCAAAGTTTTCCCCAGCACGTAGTTGCATTAGGATAAAGATACATTAATCTGAGAGCGCTATACTGGACGTGTGTTTTTATTGGGGGAGTGGCTGTGGACGGGTCTCAAGAGTGAAGCACATGCAGAGCGAGGGTTTGGGAAGTGACAGGTGTCTAGGTGATAAGACCTAGCAGGATGATTTATTGTGACAATTATGAATTCACAAAGCTGTTACATCTGGTGATTTTGTAGAATTTCTGAATGCATACAGGCACATCTGTTGGATGAATAAACTATCATCGATACTGCAGATATTTGCAGGAGTATATCTGTATGAAGAATAACCGTTTCCTCATTGCAAAGTACAGGCAAAAATGCCCCAAAATACCAGAACATGCCTTCCAACTGTATTCCAGTGGAATTTGTTGATGGATTATCACATTACATACTAGTTTGATTTAAACTGCTATGTCACATAGCTATACTGAATAGGCTGTATACTCCAGATATTGACACTGGATCTGTAATCTCTCAGCACTTTTTAGTGCAACACCAATCATTTGCCTCCCACAGCTGCCTTTCTCTGTCACCTCAGCCTTAGATTGTAATTGATGCCATTTGTGAGTGGTGTAAAATTCAGGCTTGTGAACACTGTTTAAACAACTACAACAACAATAACCCTGAGAACAATAATGTCTTTGCTCTGTATTGTGTGAGACAAACACCAAAAGGTGTAACCATTTGTTGTTGTTGGCTTGTTTTGGAGACGGGGTTTCCATGCTCATTGGAAACATCTGGAAGTAAATAAAACTTTGTATTTTTTCTTAAACTATGTTTAATTAGTGAGTGCAATCTCTAAAAAAATATAATAAAATCCAGTAATTACAAACAACTGGAAAAGTCGTGGGAATCCTGTAAAGGCAAAACATCTCAAACTCAAAATCAATTTACATAGACTATTAGGACAAATGGATAGAAAGGACATTTTGACTATTGCAAAATCCACTCTAAATCTTTGTAGCATTAGTTGGACCATATGTGTGGTTCAGCATAAATTAAGTGTTGTTTTCTCTCTTGAGAGATCTCTAAATATTTGTTAAAAAGAAGTTTATGACAACTAAAGATCGGAACGTCGCTCTTTCAGCAGTTTCTTGCAAATAGAAGGGGTGAAGAATATTCCTAACAAACAAATGTTTCTTTATATTTTCTTTGCTTGTCTGTCTATTTCAGTGGCACAGAAAACCCTCTTCCTCATCAATATATGAACATTAATGGAAGGCCGGTGATATGGATGAATTTCAGTTGAACACTAAGTTTTTCCAAGCTTGCTTATCAATTGTGACTCTCATAAGGTTAGCATGGTCTCACATGTCTCCAGTTGATATCAGATTAGTGGGACTGCCCCTAGTACACTTCCTGTAGTTAACTCACTTCATTAGGATGGTAGCACAGATTAGATTATCCACTTGAATGCAGTGCAGAAACAGCCAAAGTAAATGAAGGTGAACTCAGTAAACCTATCTGATTGTAGTGCAATCTCTAAGTGAACTTTACAACCAAAACCACAGCCAAAAGCCAAAACCACAGCGTGCACCCAGTAAACCCCGAAAGATAAATCTGAAGACTTATTTACATTTCTTTGCACCGCTCTTGATTAGTGATATTGTTATCCGATTGGATATGCATATCACATTTACATTTACCAAAGTTTGTGGTAGACCAGAACGCCGGCTCAACACATGCATG